GCTGATCGTATTGGCCGTAATGTCGTGTGGACATAAGACATTATTGCACAATACGGTATTTTAGTGATGATTTATACCACAGAAATGCGTCACAGTTGTCAACGGAGAAAAAATAAAATAAAAAGGAGAATAATGCAATCTTGGATTTATATTCTTCGCTACATATTATTAATATGTTTAAATGAATAAGGACGTGAGGCACGGATAGGGGTGTAAGAAACACGTACACAATTTTGGTTGAAAAACCCGAAGAGAAGACACCGCTGGGATAACCTATGCATAAATGGGAATATAATATTAAGATAGATTTCAGGGAAGAGGGCGTGAGCTTGTGGGATCACAGTAGGAATCGGTGATGGATTTCAGGGAAGAGGGTGATAAACAGGATTTGGGGTTCTCCACAGTGGCGAGCATTAAAAAGGCTGTTTTCTGCTTTGTAGCACAGTCTAGTATGGTAGAAGTTTACTGACGTTTCAGAGGTACAAACTTGCTGCCTCTGTCATCAGTCGCCCTGATGATAGAGGCAGCAAGTACACCCGCAACGTCAGTAAACGTCTATCATACTAGACTGTGCTACAAAGCAGAAAACAGCCTTCTTCAAGGTAACAAACGATAAACCTTCGGACTCCTAAACAGTCTGAAATATATAGATTAACTGAGTGATTTTCATGTCTCAATAAATTTAATTACATTTTATATATATTTTCATAGTGCGCACTAGGTCGTTAGGCAGACCTGAACGGTCTAATCTGTCTCGCTCGCTGGTTGTAGCCCACAACCCGAAGTTTCCACACCACCTGATTGGACCAAAATCCTTGTTATCTGATGTTGTTCTGAGCTACTGCAATCTAAAATCAATCACACCAGAAAATGTTTCTTGAAATTCTCAGGCGGTTACGCCAAGTTCACGGGTCTCAAGACGTACAACAAGCAGCTGAAGACGATGCTTGCTATCGGGGGTTGGAACGAGGGTTCAACCCGCTTCTCACCGCTCGTGGCGGATGAAGAGAGGCGATCAGAGTTGGTGCACAACGTGGTTCGGTTCCTGCGACAGAACCACTTCGACGGACTGGACCTTGACTGGGAGTATCCGGCCTTCAGAGACGGCGGCAAACCTCGGGACAGGCAGAACTACGCGCTTCTCGTGCAGGTAACGCTCTCAGACCCGGTCGTAAACTCAACGACGAACGGTTATGAAACTACGGTCTCGGACGCAGTTTGACGTATCAGTATTTCTGGTACGTGCTGCCTAGATTAATTAATGGTTTCTAAGCTGTTCAATTCTCGACAGAGACAGGACTTTTTCTATTTTCCATTACGTTTATACCAGCTCTGGGGTCTGTCAGCTTCGCATTTAATGGTTTTCGCATATAGCCTTATCTCGGTCCTCATGGCTTTATGTAAATTCATTTCATCTTTAACACAAACGCACAAATGTTTTATCTTTATTGGGCTACCATTAATCTTTCGGACAAGTGCGTTGCGTGGTCGGAATGACCAAACCCTGCCCTGGACTACGTTCCATCCACTACATATTACGACGACCACGCAAAATTTGTCACACGAACAACGGCTGAACATATTTTTGGTCATTTTATCGTGGTTTTATTTCGTTTCTTTCCGTATTGATTCGGTTTCAATTCCATATTTTAGACGTTATATTACCTCTGGGTTGGGTTTCTTATTTTCGTTGTGTTGAGCTGGATTAGGTATTTTTATATAACAGCTGTTGGCAACAGTGTGCCGTATACGACCTGTCCGAATACGGGTCCAACAACTCTTTGCTCTCTGCAGTCGTAAGAGACAGGACGACTACTTTAAAATAAGCCACGGCCTATTCCTCCAACACGCATTCGTATTCATCATGCGAAAAAGCCGTAGGATTCCAAGATAATTTACATATGCAGGTGAAAGGGTGTAGTTAAATAAAGAGCGAACTTCCCTGAGACGTGAGCAATGGAAAACGCTGTTTTCGTCCTCAGGAACTCCGTGCAGAATTCGACCGCGAATCCGAGAAAACAGGGAGACCCCGGCTTCTTCTCACCATGGCTGTGCCGGCCGGCATCGAGTACATCGACAAAGGATATGATATTCAGAAACTGAACAGGTAACTCTGCCAAATTTTACTTTTATTGTTATTGGTTTTTCTCAGTTATCCTCTTACTTCTTCCTTATCGTGTTCAAATATTTCCACTGGAAGCTTTTCTCAACATTTATCTTTTCTTAGAATGAAATACCATAGCCATACGAAACTCCATGTAGAATCAGTTTTGTATAATTTAGTCTCTTACCATTCGCTTCATAATATTTTATCTTCAACGTAAAGAATAGACTAACCTAAAAATTAATTGATATAAATTTACAAAACTTTAAAATTATTTTACCAGTCTTGCATCTGTGTGATATTTGGTTCGTCATCCCAAAAAACAGACACATATTTAGAGTGTTTTAGGACACGGTACTGAGGAAAAACATTTATACAAGAGACGGAAGTAACACGAGGCTAAAAGAAAATTGTAAAGTGGAATTTCATGATTTCTACTCTTATTAGTTATGAAATGAAGCAGGATGTGATGGGAAGTACATGTAGAACACATGTGATATGTACAGAATTTTACTTGAACACCCTGAACGGACAGGAACACTAGCGAGATCTAACGGGGATGAAAGTATTATATCAAGATACGTATGTGGGAATTTCTTTTTTGTACGACAAGGTACATGTAGAACACATGTGATATGTACCTAATTTTACTTGAACACTCTGAACGGAAAAGATCACTTGCGAGATCTAACGGGGATGGAAGTATTATATCAAGATACGTATGTGGAAATTTCTTTCTTATACGACAATATACCAATGACCGGCTCTTGTCAACACGGTTATGAACTTTCTGGGTATGTAAAAGACAGGAAATTTCTTAACCAGATGAGAGACTAATAGCTTCTCAAGAAAGGCATTGCTGCGGTGGTCAGGTGGTTACTAAAATTAAGTGAGAGCCGCTTTGTTGTGCACAGTTCCTTGTGCTAATCTGCATTGTTTCCAGGCACTTAGACTTCATGAACATCCTAAGCTACGACTACCACTCTGCGTTCGAACCGGCGGTAAACCACCATTCGCCTCTCTATCCCCTGGAGGAGGACTCCGAATACAACTTCGACGCTCAACTTAGCATTGTAAGTACGGTCCCGACTCTGATATGGTTCACGTGCCGGATCAGGCATGAATCCCGAACTGGAGATAAACTAGCCCATCGTCCGTCAAACTTCTGCGCCTCGTATGAGACATGACACTCTGAATGTCTGTTCGAGTCGCTGACAGTTCCGGGGTTACTGAAAAATAACCGCTTATTTCTAATAATTCTAAGCTTATGTTTAGAATATGGCTTTAATTCTTCTATTTTCCCATATTCACACAAATATAAATTTGGTTTAACACATTTACGTTTTATTTAAATACAATAAAAAACAGCGATAAACAAGAAACTGTCTGACTCGCATTTTAAACTTAACGTGTTTTAATATTTTGGGTCGTCACGTCGTGTATAATTCGAGAACTGAGTCGGGCTTAGAGCGTTGCAGTAACGTGTAGTCTGATAGATAATGACGGACGGTTCTGACGAACTGACTTTCTTCGTGATGAACAAATGACATGATTTTTTTAGTATCTGCTTTACAGGGCGTACGTTTTAAACCATCTGATCAATAAAAATGATGTGTATGTGCAGGACTATACGATAAACCACTACCTGAAGCTGGGAGCGGACCGAGACAAGCTGGTACTCGGAATACCGACGTACGGGCGATCGTACACGCTCTTCAATCCGCTGGCCACTGAGATCGGATCTCCCGCTGACGGCCCAGGCGAGCAGGGCGACGCAACGAGGGAGAAGGGGTACCTCGCGTACTACGAGGTATTCAGCCCAGCGACCTTTACGTGACGAGTAATAGACAGCATTAAAATCTACAATATCCTTCGGAATTCTATATTTCAGGACGCCACTGGGACAAAACTGCTGCCTTGTTTCAATACGTGTATTTTATATGTTTTTTTTTCTCTCTCTGCAGATCTGCGAGAGCTTGCAGTCAGACGAGTGGAAGGTCGAACGTCCTAACCCCAACGCCATGGGACCTTACGCTTACAAGGGCAACCAGTGGGTCGGTTATGACGACATCGATATCGTGAAGCTCAAAGTAAGGATCTGTTAGGACACGGAGACGCGAGACACTCAGAACCTTAGATTGTCACATATTAACGCCTACTTCTAGAAACAGAGTCACATTACTTTTAGAAACCTAATCAGACACCTAGCTCTTCTAAATCAGTGGTATTCAATCTGGGGTATGCGTACCCCTGGGGGTACGTGAAGACATCTTAGGGGTCACGTGAAATTTTAAAAAATATATATTATTTTATGATAAACACTGAATAATCAAATAATGTAATTTATTTAATTTATTTTAGATGTAGATTATATACTATGTATAACTTGAATTGTACACCAACAACTTTGGGGGTACAAAATTGAAAATAAATTATATCTGGGGGTACGCGAACAAAAAAGGTTGAATACCACTGTTCTGAATAACACTGAAATACACGGTGTCTGAAGAACTCAAGAGTTTGAGTTATACAATTTTTTTCGCTGCTTAATCACAGAGTTGGTACGTTTAAAAAATTTACCCATAACTACACCGCGTGGTAAACACGCTGACGTATTCACCATCAAAGTAGTTGGTACACGTACTATTGTGCGTTAAAGAATGTCCATGTATGAATGTATTTTCTGCATTTACAATTTGTCTCCACATAGAACATCAACGTCGTTGTCAAATGTCTCTCTTGAGAAGATGAAATTTCTTCAGCTTGGCAAGAAATTCCTTCCGGTCGACGAAACCCTAAAATTCGTTATCAAGTTCAAATTAACCCCAAATCGACATTAACCTAAGCCAGTTTTGTCCAGTCAATATAATCACCCCCTGTTTATGTACGATCTACCTTAATGTAATTCTCCTGTCTGCAACTAATTGTCCGGAATTGTCTAAACCGTATGCATTGGCCTTTATCCCACGCATTCGTATAGAGTAAGTACTCTTGAATTAAAATTTCAGAAACATTACCTTTCACAAAATCTAAAAGTTTATGACTGGTGCGTTTTTGTTTGGTCCAGAGATAGGGATTAGCTCTATCGATTGGGCCCAAGTGAGTAGGTCTACCTGAAGACGGAGATAGAGTCCCATCTCCGAAACGTCGTGTAATTTTATGATTTTATTAGACGATGGAAAACATCCAGAAAACTTTTTATTTTAATTACCTTTCACGTTGCACATTCCCAGATGCACGACGTATCCATGATTTGCCCTGTCTCTGGCTTCTTCGAGGCACAATGTGACGTTTGGTCCAAAAGCTTTCTGTGCGAACAAATATCTGATGGTGATTTTGGTTGTCTCGCAGTCGCAGTACGTGAGCGACAACGGGTTGGGTGGCATCATGTTCTGGGCCATCGACAACGATGACTTCCGTGGTAAATGTCACGGACGTCCGTATCCGTTGATCGAGGCGGGAAAAGAAGCGATGTTGGCCAGCGCGAGGTGAGTACCTACCGAACGCACTTGCGCGGACAAGAAGTTACTGTCTAATCTGCCTGTCCTCATAAAATCAACTCAGTTCTCACCGTAGTAACGAAGTTCGGTAAGGACATCTGCAGAAAATAATTGTAATCAATCAATGTGAAACCCTTTGGCGTATTTCGCTCTACAATTACGAAACGCTTATAAAACCATTAATCCTTTAAATATTTGTTTGAACTCACACTCGTCACAAGATGTCTCCGAGATTGTTGATCGTTGCAAACAAATGCGTTGAAGACCAGCCAGCCGAGGTACGGGGAGGGAGGGTAAGCGATGGTGCTTAAAACGCTTTGGTCTGTGACGTAGCTGTAGCTCAAAGATATTTTGCGTCCAGCATATCGGTCCTTCGCATCCTGTACATATTCAGGACAACAGAACACAGAAAACCACGGATATCCATCGAGGCCTTTAGCGGAATTCAAACTTGATATCTCTGAGTTTCGGTGGTCCACATATGTAATGTTCTTACAGCTTAGAATAAGAAGATAAGTTAAGCGAAGTGAATAGATCAATTCTTAATGGCGAAATACGCTGTGAGAACAAGTAAAGTTTCTTAAAGGTGTAACCCCAAATGTTTCAAAAAAAGAATAATTAAATCTGTATGTTGTCAGAACATCCAACGATGTCGTGTCTGTGACGCCGTCTCGAGGAAGCAGCAAGACTAGTCCGAAACGTCCGTCAAGCAGCAGTAGCAGTTCCGGGAGTGGTAGCGGACGGCAGGGTCCTCAGAGTGGACTCCGCACAAACAAGAAACGTCCCTCCTCCAGCAGGCGCCAGAACAAACCAGTTCGGAGCAGTACTACTACTACTACTACCACTACACCGGCACAAAACTACCCCGGGACCACTCCAGAGCCTCCCACTACACCTGACCCAGGAAGCGGTACGTTCACATCCAGGTTCTGGCTGTCTTCCCGTTTAGTCAAGGACAAGGGCGACCTTGGTCCCTTCTCGCCTCACGTAACTACATCCTGCATAGACCATAGCGCACCTTCATATAATGCAATATGAAAAAGTGACGTTGTGAAGAAGTATGGGGTAGATGGGGGTGAGTGATCAGGATCATGCCCCAGTCGCTTCGCCCCCGAAGGATGTGTGGGCCCCAGAGCCGGTCTGCAAACGGAGGCTAAGTGAAAAATATTTTGCCCCTGTCGGAAATCGATGGTACCTAGAATTTCCCATTAAAGTTTATAATAATCTAGTTACTCTGAGTCACAATGTAAGTGTATTATGTGAATGAACCAGCTGATCATCTCCTGTTTTAATTGTAATTCTATGTAATTACAGTTTTGTACCGTGACGAAACATAGAACATGTGCAGTTCTTACCCCTCCTTCAGAAACTGATACCCCTAAAGTAGTAAACAAATTCTCCACCTTTTATGCAATTCGGAGCTTCAGTACCTTTTTAACAAGAAAGTGTCTACTGAAAACGAACCTGGATCAGTTTAATTTATGTACACCCCTCCTTCTGAACTGTTTCACTAACATCTATTTTAATATCTTCGTTCTGTTTCCCAAATCGTATTTTCCTTTCGGGTTTTCTGACTAAAATTCTGCGTGAATTTCTCAAGTTCTTCCATACTGCATGCCCCGAACATCCCATCCTCTTTGATTTGAACACAAGATTACACATTGCCAAGTTCCTAACTATCTTATTTACTCGATTCTCTCATTAACACCTCTCTTTAAGTCCAATATTCTTTTGAGAACCCTTTTTTCAAACACAAACAATACATTTGCAAGCTTCACAGTCAAAAAGTGTATCGATTAATGTCACAGCCGTCTATATTTATTCGGATTTTTATAGGAAACAAAATGTCCTCAACTGGAACAGTACAATCATTACCTGAATTTAATCTCCTCTGTCAATGTCATATAATTACTGTTTTAAAGATTTAAATATTATTTACAGATATCACGAATTTTTTTATATCATTCTCCTGTTGATAGTCAAACTCCTACATAATTTTCCAAGCTAAATGCATTTTTATCGTCTAATAAATTTCTACTTTTTACATTATTAATGTGTCACATCACTTCTGGTACCTCTCGATTTTTTCAGATATCCATAATGATCTATTTTATAGTAAACTCCAACTAGTACATTTGACGCTGTGAATTTCATTCTCGTTTTTATTTTTTCCCAGCAGACTTCAAGTGTAAGGACGAGGGATTCTTTCCACACCCACGCGACTGCAAGAAGTACTTCTGGTGTTTGGACAGCGGCCCGTCCAATCTGGGCATTGTGGCTCACCAGTTCACTTGCCCCTCAGGTAAACACAACTTCGCTGTCGTTCATGGTGCCATTGTCTAGAAGCCAATGCACTGATAATGGCTGTCTTAAAAATTATAACAGCTGTGATAAGAGATTATGGCACGGTGGTCTAGCGGTTAGAACGCTGGCCTTGTAATTTGTAATCCTGGGGTCTCGGGTTCGAATTTATAACTTGTGGTGGTCTAGGCAACACGGAGTTTTTCTCCGTGGCATCCCAACAATTACTTCATTCACACACAGAAGAAGGCAATGTCAAACCACTTCTGGATCATCTGCCAAGAACGTATATGAACAGGTCCCAGTCCGAGAAAAGGATGGAAGGATCCTGTTCATATGGACCTGTCGTCAGACAGAACACTAAATAAAACATATAAAATAAAAACTACCAGGAGTCCCTGATAATCTGTGTAATATTACCATCAGTAAATAACAAGTTACCAGGTTTACTACTCTTTAAAAGTACATGGAATTCTATTCCTTAACAGTTTTACAGCATTTTACTTCGTTTCGACATTTTGTCTTTCCGTGTCCTGGTTGCCTGATGGCTGCCAGGAGGTCATACAAGGCAAAACACAAAGCGGTCTACGGCCACCCCTGCTTCTTCACAAGGAATCCATATGCAATTTAATGCATAAAGCGATGTATATGATGCCTCATACATTCGGCTTCAACACCAAAATTTAATGAAAACTTGAATAGTAATATAATAGATTTATTTGGTTATTTCGTGTGTCATTTAAGAGGATGAATTTCCAGCTATGGTTTTCAATGCTAACGAAATGTGTTAGGAATGTATATAGAAGATTAATCCAATATACATATAGCTAAGAAAAATAATTACTTTTACGCCTATAATATAATAAATAAGCAGTGTTTTCTTTTAGTACAGTTCAATTTGTGATTATTAAAACAGACAGGTGTTTTCGGTTATATTTAAAGCCTCAGTTATCACTTCACTTAAAAAATATAACGTGAATAGTTCAATGAATTACACTCTGTAGTGTCTGATACCTCACTAATTTTTACAGCGTAACTCTGAAGTAGTCCACAGATGAAATATGCGTTACTTGCAAGTGCTGAATTCGCCAAAATGACCCTCATATACGCCTATAATATAATAAATAAGCAGTGTTTTCTTTTAGTACAGTTCAATTTGTGATTATTAAAACAGACAGGTGTTTTCGGTTATATTTAAAGCCTCAGTTATCACTTCACTTAAAAAATATAACGTGAATAGTTCAATGAAACCACTCTGTAGTGTCTAATTTTTACAGCGTAACTCTGAAATAGTCTACAGATGAAATATGCGTTACTTACAAGTGCTGAATTCGCCATACTTATCATCATCTTTCTGTTCAATCATCTGCCATATTTCCTATCCTTTTCGACGTTTAGAGAGTTTAGTCCTAACAACCCGATAAATTAAAATGTTATTGTACAAAAATAAAATCAAAAATTGGTACACGCGTGTAATAGACTTTCCGGACCTCCTTCGTAACATTCGATGAAGCTAGGAATATCTGAAGACGACGTACTCACGAGCAGGTCGCGTGGATATTTATTCTTAAATCTTAAATTTCGCATCGTAAATCGTTTGCTCAAGAAGGAATGAGTACCCTGATTTCCATGCTCGGTTTGTACAGTCCATGCTAACAATGACTGTATTATAGCTGCTTCTTATTCAAACAATACCGGTTCGAATCCAGATCAACTTAACTGAATCGTGTATAGGGAAACATCTGCGCAGTTGCTGCCTCTTACGTTAAAACAAAGCACTAAACCGAGCGAGTGTACAGACCTTCATGATTCACCGACGCTGGGTTCCTGGTAGCTACAAAGTTTCCACAAGGACGTAACTATCACAGTTATCACGAGCAGGAAGCTGGGAAATTCTGTTGAAATCACCGACGTTTTTGTCTGAAATGTTGGCAGGCCTTTTCTTCAACAAAGGAGCCGATTCCTGCGACTATGCCCGTAACGTTGTTTGCAAGAAGAAATCTGGCGAAACAAGTTCCTCCACTACTAAGGCCCCCCCGATCACCGCTGCCACGAGCCGTACAACTCGCATCAGCTCGTCCACCGTCACCGCACGAACGACCTCAACAACCACACCCCGACCCGTGGTCGACGACGACGAGGAGGAGTACGGAGAGGATGATTATGAGGACGAGGAGGACGAAGGAGAGGAGACGAACCCACAGGATATAAAAGAACTACTCAATATAATCAAGAATATAGGTACGGTCCTAGTACAGTAAGACCTTCCGTTTTACACACTTTTCCGCTTAACACAGGTATTTCCTTGTAACTACGAGGTGCGATCGGAAAGTTTCAAGACTGCGCCTATAAAAACCCGTACACTTATCTCAGGTATTAAATTCAACCATCAACCTCGAAGTAGTTCCCCTGGGAGTGAACACAACGATCCCAGCGCCGCTGCCAAGCCTGGAAGCATCCCTGGAAATCTTTCTTTGTCA